TGGCTTTTTATTATCCCGTTTTGACATCCCATAAACGGATAGAGTTATCATAACTACCAGAAGCTAATGCATTTCCATCAGGAGAGAAACGGACTGACATAACTAAATTACTATGACCATCTAATTTGGCTTTTTATTATCCTGTTTTGACATCCCATAGACGGATAGAGTTATCACCACTACCAGAAGCTAATGTATTTCCATCAGGAGAAATACAGACTGATCTCACACTCCCACTATGACCATCTAAACTATTCAATTCATGGACTTTAATGTTCTTCCATTTACAATTGAACATCTAAGCGCCATTAAAATTGACTCCACTGATATCTACATTTTCAAACTCTGATTAACTCAAGTTGCATCTTACAAAATTACCTCCAATTAAAGAAGTATTCTTTATTCTGATATTCTTAAAGGATTGGTTCCTTATATCAACCTTCATGGCCACTAATAAACTAAGTCCATTTGATCCACATTGAATAAATTTTACATCTATGCCTGTTAGTCTCACTAAAAATTTGATGAAATCTGTGATCCCTTTGTTATCCTTCATCTTCTTGATCAGATCCACTCTTTCCTTTTCATATGTTTCTTGTGAATAATCATCCTTACTAAATTTATGATCCTAAAGATTTGTCAAGACATTAATTATTTTCTTTCCTTACTTCTTGATTTCCTTTATATATTCTTACTTGTAGTTTAAAGATTCATAAAATTGATTATTGTTAATATTCAACAGCAATCCAATAATGTCTTAAACTTTCTCTTTTCTAAGTATTTCAAGAACCTTCTAATAGAGAGTTTCTTCTATATCCTGGATGTAGTTTAGCATCTCATAAAGCTCCTCCTTCATTTAATAAACTTCTTCTTCATCTTCCCTAGAGAGAAGATTTATAATACTTACTTAATTAATGATTTAATCCATTGAATTCCTTTGTTAGACTTTTCAATAAAAGTTGTTATATGTAAGTCCCACCAACTCATGGTCTTCTCTAATTCTATCATATAAGAATTCTTCTCAGCATTCCAATCAATTAAAGTTGAGCCTTCTACAATGTTGACTAATTTTTCTATATCAGTGTAGGAGGATTCAGCTANTTTGAACTTAATCATTTTCGTTATTCGACTATGAGGAGAGTAGTCATATTATTGGAGACTAAAAATATTAAATATCATTAATACTTTCTTACAAATGATTTCTTTAAAATAGGGGAATTGTATTAATCTTGAATTGTTTAATAATTATTATTCTTAACTTGCTTAAAAGATAAATAAGCGCAAATTAAAAAAATTCAAAGACTTAAGAATTTCAAGATTTGACTCCTTAAATAAAGTCTAAATGATAATAATCGATTTTTGGTTGATCCATTCTCCTTATTTCATTGTGAAAATTTAATATGAAAATAATTAGGTAACAATTATTTTTTTCTTGCTTCTCTAATAAATATGATTATCTAACCTTATGTATTTAGAAATTACTTTCATCCTTTAAAAAGTGTTATTCTTTTCTGTTAATTCTATGATTAGTCCGTGTCAATTTTGATCTATTTTCAAATAAAAATATTCAATTTAAATTAAAACAGTATAATCCTTTACCAAATAGCTTTTCATCTCTACTAATATACTAAGTTTATTCTATTATATTACAAGTATCAAATCTATAATGCTTAAATGGTATCTCAATGTAGTCAGATATTTTTGGAACCAATAGTCAGCATTATAAAAAACTTTGAATATTTTTTATATTATTTTAAATAGAACTTTTTAAACTATTGAATAATATTAATAAAAGTAATAATAAAATTTTGATTAGGATAAAATTAATTTTTTGTTTTATTTTAATGAATTATATCAAATCATTTAACATGTTGAAGAACAACCGATATCCACAGATATATTTTAAGGTAAATACTAATATGATTTAACAGCATCTTCAAATATCTCCCTTAACTTTTTCTGTTATTCCTTTAATATTTTTTCATAGTTTTTTTCTAAATAGCTTAAAATGATTAATGCATCTTCTGTGCCACAAATCCAGTAAATATTCTTAAATAATTCTGAGGAACTGCTTTCTTTTGCTAATAAATCGTTAACTCTATTTTTAAAAATTGTTTCTTTCCTTTTTTTCATATTTACCTATTGTTATTTTCCTAAAGATATTGCTGCCATTTGCACTTCAATTTCTAATTTTTATGGATTTACTGCAAATAATATCACATTATTTTCATCAATAGCATAATAAAGGGCAGCATTTATAATTTTAAAAGCATCTCCAATAATTGTAATTGGTGAAAGTGCAACTGATCCAATGCTTGAAATTTTTTGAACTTTATTTAAAACCTTTTCTGAGTTTTGTTTCAATAGCTGCATTTTGGTTTATATAAAATACGTCTGTTGAAATTTACTACCCTGCTTTAAGTAGTTGTAAGGCCTTCAAAATAAAGATTAATAATAAATTTTTTAATACTAATTTTTTGGTATATTAAGATCGTTTAATTATAATTCAATTTAATTTCTATCTTGTTACTCTAATTAATTCACTTTTATTTTTAAATGTAACATCTCTTATTTTAACTGCTCAATATTTAACAATATTTAATTCAGTTATTCATTTAAAACTTATTACTTTTCAGGCTTTATTGATTATTGGAATTGCCAGAATAGGTTTGATTTGATTTTGGTATTGCTTTAATCTTCCAACATAATGTTGTTTATTCTATTATTCTTATGGTTTTTCGATTTGCACTACTCGAAAAGATATTTAGATTGCTCAATTTCGTAATCTAATTTTTTTAGGATGTCAATCTTAGATTTTATGATATTAATACTTTATTTAGTTAAATTTCATTTCGCAATTTCTGACTATTTTAACCTCTATAAAGTATCTAAGGGCTTTTGAGAACATTCAAAGTTTATTAAGTATGGTCAGAAAGAATGTATTAATAATCACCCAAATTGCTCATTCATTTTTTGATTTTAATTATACCAAGCTAAATATATGAATTTTACATTACCTCTACACTTAAATGCATAATAACAGTTCCCATCATTTTCTAGAGCTAATTAGAATATTAGAGCGCATTATCCTGTTATTATAAATCGCTCATAACAGTGCCTCTGCATAATGAATATTTTGTTGCCCATTCTACTATAACACATTGCAAATTTGGATCAATCTAAACACACTTCATATAATCTTATAAAGTTAGATCAAATAATTATTTTTTCCTATAAATTGTTCCTTAAATGTTAAGATATAATATAATACCTCTTTAATAACTTTCAGCATTCTAATTTACATTTTCCACATATAATTTTATTTTTTCATATCATTTTTATTAATGGATTATTAAACTTTGAACTTCTTAAAGTGTAGGCTTCGCCAAATTGAGGGCATAGATCCACAGCGTTATTAATTACTACTAATGCTTCTTCTGTTCTGTAAGTAATTTTAAACTCCTATAAACAATTCCATTTGATATTTATACCTAGATTCTTGTAAAATGAGCTAAAGCACCAGTAATCTCGTCTTCCTTTGAATTTTTTTTTGCTCATTTCTGAAATGTATCCAAATTTTTTTTATAAAATAATCAATAAAATTTAGGGAATTCCACACCTGAATAAATATCAAATTTTTGATTAAAAAAAAAAATATTTCGCTTTTATACTATTTGTAAGCAGAAAAATACAAATTTTGGATCCCTGGTCCCTAGTCAAGCATTAGATGATATATTTGATATTTGTTAATTATTATTAGAGGCGATTAAAAATAAATGAATAACTACTATCCAATTAATTAATGGATGATCACTCAAAAAATAAAAGCAATTGAGAGTATATTAAGATGCAGAATTATAGCTAAGTTTAAATACTCCTTATTCCCTTTTTCAGGAAACCAAATTCAAATTTTTTCCACTTAATATTTAAATTTTTTGCCACTAAATTTTTAATGTGGGTTTCTAATATTCCTGATCTTAATACTGTATTTAAATATAAATAGACAATAAAATATTTGTTATCTAGACTTTCATAAAATAAGCCTATTTTATGAATTCTTTGAAATTGAATTGCTAACTGTAAAGTTAACCAAAAACCAAAATGAAATTCCAAATAACTTTATATTAATAAATTTTAACTCTAAATCATGTTTTAAAACTAACTTTTCTTAAATAAGAACTGAAAAATATTATTACCCTGAATAATTAAAACCCATGAAAAATTAAAAGCATTATTAAATAAGTGATGAATTATAATGTCTTAATCACAAAAATACACTTAAATATTATAATAATATCATTAATTTCCTCTTATCTAATTAATATAATATTGAAGAGGTTTAATGTCCTTTTTGGAAACGAAAAATTGAATTATTTTTAAGCTTTCAATTATGGATTTGAAAAAGAATACCAATCATTAATCATTGATACCTTTTTTCTGCTTCAATCTTTAAGTGATTACATAATCTCAATAATTTATAAACGATTATTATTTGATGTATGTTAAAATTCATGTAGTTCTTTAAGTTAATCAGTAATTCAGATTGTTAGTTGGTTGTTAGGGAAGATATAACTATCTCTGTAAATCTTAATAATTTCAAAAAATATACAACTTTTAGATGATTAATATACCTTTTCAGTCTTTTATAATGTCTCATACTTTTAATATCGATTGAAGAATAATAATCAATGGTGATTTGTACGTTACTTTCAATATTAAAAATCATCCAACCTAATTGTTAAATTCTTGACATATTTTTTTTTTTTAATTTATTGTTAATAAATCTATCTTTTACCATTATAAAACTATATATACCAATAATTTGTTAGATGATCTTTTAAATTTCACTTTTTTCATATTTCATATACTAAATGAAAAAGCCAAATTTAATAAATAGTCGAAACAGTAATGGCTATAGGTTTTTATAAAAAAAATTAAGAGGAAAAATGAGTATGAAGTCTTATATAAAATATTTAATAAATTTAGAAATACTTTAAAAAATCCTAAAAAACAAATAATATTCCATGATTTTCAATATTAAATGCAATCATCTTTTATCTTTTAGTCAAAGTTTTTTATAGTTTCCAAAAAGCAACTTCCTTTAGATTTGAATAAAGGTTTTAAATCTTTTCCTTAATGGTTCATAAATTCTCTTTACAAGATAATTGTACCTGATGCTTCTAATAAAGGATTCTAACAAATCCTAAGTAAAGTGAGATCTGGCTCAACTAAAAAATAATTAATAAAAAATACCATTTGGTAATAATGAACTACTCTAAAGTGGTATTTTAAATTATGCAAGAATATCTATGTAATTTTTATCATAGGATTTAATCTCTTATCCTGTTTTGGCATCCCTTAGGCGGATAGACTTATCATCACTACCAGAAGCTAATGTATTTCCATCAGGAGAGAACCAGACTGATTGGACCCATTCACTATGACCATCTAATGTGGCTGTTAATTATCCTGTTTAGACATCCCAAAGACGGATAGAACAATCACCACT